ATCTGGCCCTCGGTCACCAAGGGTCCTGCGGCGCAGGCGCTGCCAGCAGCGCCCAGGGCGGGAAGGTGGCCGAAGGGGCTCATCTTCACAGCTGCTGACGCTGTCAGGGGGCCCTGCAGCGCGGGCGCTGCCGGGCGCCGCCGACGGAGCTCCGGCAGGGTTCACGTCGCCGCCTCCAGCCGGTGGGCTGTGGCTGGCGCCGCCGGGGGGCCCCGCGGCGCGAGCGCTGCCAGCCTCTCCCGGGGTGGGCCCAGGCGGAAGGCCCGAGGCGCCCCACTGACCATGCTCCAAACGCTCCACGGCAGCCAGCGCCTCCTGGCAGGGAGACCAAAAACTTGCGATGGCTCCGGACTCGGGCGGATCGGCAGCCAGCGCATCCTTGCTGCCCGTCACCTGAGCGAAACTCGACATCATCACGATGCTCACGAAGAGAAAACGTACCGGCTTGGGAAGTCTTCCCACACGCCTGGTACACGACATTGCTGGGCGCCGCGCGAGGCACTGTGCCCAGTCGCCCCTGGACCGAGGGCGGAGGGTGCTTGTCGCACGGTAGCGGCTTGGACTCGGACCTGCTCGTCCTCGTCAGGGATCCGCGCGCTCGCCTGGTGCAGGGTCGCCCGCAGCTCTTTGACGGGACGGGTATCGGGCGGCTCCGTGGCCGCAGCCGCCGCTGCCGCGCCCACTCTCAGCGCCCGGTCTGGCAACCGCCGCGGCAGCCCCCTGCAGCACGCCAGGCGGCTGAGCAGGCTGCAGGGCCTGCTGTGGCTGCAAGGCCGGCGGCGGCTCGCGAGAGGCCGTGCGGTGGGCCTCAGCGACAGCTTGCTGCTTGGCCTGCAGCGCGCGGTCCACGTTCGCCGAGAGCTCCTCGCCGCCGCCGCGCTGCTTGATGAATGCCTCCGGCTCGTCGACCGAGAGCCCCAGGCCAAGGGCCGCGTGTTGGCCAGCTGGGAGCTGGGCCTCACGCTTCGGCGCAGGAGCCAGGGCGACCCGCCGCTGCACCTCGTCCATCTGCTCCTGATGATGAGATGATGATGATGATGATGATGATGATGATGATGATGATGATGATGATGATGATGATGATGATGATGATGATGATGATGATGATGATGCTGATGCTGCTGCTGATGATGATGATGATGATGACGATGATGATGATGATGCTGATGATGTTGATGATGATACTGATGCTCATGATGATGATGCTGATGCTGATGCTGATGATGATACGGATGATCATGACGATGATGCTGATGATGATGCTGATGTTGATGCTGATGACGATGACGATGATGCTGATGCTGATGCTGATGCTGATGATAATGATGATGCTGATGCAGATGGTGCTATTGCTGCTGATGATGATGCTGATGCTGCTGGTGATGACAGTAATGTTGATGGTGATGATGATGCTATTGATAATGATGATGATGATGATGATGATGATGATGATGATGATGATGATGATGATGATCATGATCATGATGATGATGATGCTGATGATGATGATTTTGATGATGATGATGATGATGATGATGATGATGATGATGATGATGATGATGATGATGATTATGATGCTGATGAGGATTATGATGAGGATGACGATGATGCTGATGACGATGTTGATGCTGCTGATGATGATGATGCTGATGCTATTGCCGATTATTATGATGCTGACTGTGATGCTCATGATGAGGATGATGAGGATGATGCTGATGCTGATGATTATGACGATGATGACGATGATGGTGATGGTGATAGTGATGGAGATGCTGTTGGTGATGATAATGATGAATGCTGATGCTGATGATGATGATGATTATGATGATCATGCTGATGATGATGATGATGAGGATGATGATGATGCTGATTATGACTCTTATGGTGATGCTGATTCTGATGTTTCTGCTGCTGTTGATGATGTTGATTATGATGATGATGCTGATGATCATGATGATGATGCTGATGATGATGATGCTGATGATGATGCTGTTGATGATAATGCTGCTCATGATGGTGCTGCTGCTGATGATGATGCTGATGCTGATGCTGATGCTGATGATGATGATGATGATGATGATGAATATGATGATGATGATGATGATGATGATGATGATGATGATGATGATGATGATGATGATGACGATGACGATGATGCTGATGCTGATGCTGATGCTGATGATGATGATGATGCTGATGATGATGATGATGATGATGATGGTGATGATGATGCTGATGATGCTGATGATGATGATGATGATGATGATGATGATGATGATGATGATGATGACGCTGATGCTGATGCTGATGCTGATGATGAGGAGGAGGAGGAGGAGGATGATGAGGAGGAGGAGGACCCGCAGGCCGCTGGGGGGGCGGTCCTTGGCCTGGCGGCCTGCGATGCGAGATCTCGGCCTCGCCCTGCAGAGTGGGCAGGAGCGGGGGCCTCATTCCCTCCATATCCCCTTCTCGCTCGTGGCTCCTCGTTCCTCCTGCTCCCACATCCTCCTCGCTCCTCACTCCTGCCTCTCCTTCTCCTCCCTTCCCCACCCCCCCTCCCTCCACCTCCGCTCCCTCCTCATCACTCCTCCTGATCCTCATCATCCTTCGCTCTTCAGGGGGAATGGTTGCGACTGCTTCGCGCGCGGCGACTCGGCGGCGACCCAAGCGCGGGCGTTCGAGCTTGAGCGATGCGCGCCGTCGGAAAGCCGCGACCGCTCAGGGTGGAACGATCCAAGCGATATCAGAAAGTAAGGTTAACGTTATCGCGACGTGAAGCCGCCGAGTGAGGTGGGAAAGGATGCGGGAAACGAGGGGGAGACGGTGTGGGAGAAGCTCGGGGGGCTCCACGTTTGCATCCGCATCGACTGTTGCCTGGCTAAGCCTGGGCTACGGGTCAGGCTGAGATCGGTTTACGTATACGGCAGTCTGCGTTCTTCGGGAGCCCCCAAACGGTGCGGTGAACACACCGTGTGGTGAGTCGGTGGGGATTCGGGGTCACCGCACGGTTTTGGGACTCGGGTCGTTCTCCTAGGAGGTCTCGGGCGACTGGGGCCTCCGAGGTCCCAAGACCGTGCGTTGACGGACCGTGCGGTGAGGTCTTGGGGGATTTCGAGGTCACCGCACGGTCTGTCACTGCACCGCTTCGGGACTCCAAAGTTCTCCAGCTCTTTCTGCGTTCTATCGGCGGTTCTGCTGCAGATTCGGCCAGCTCGCTAGTGAATTGTCCTAGGGTTGCCAGGCAATCTCTGCCTGCAGTGCTCAGTCCCCCTGCTGCGACCATTTAGGTTGCGGCCGTACGGTCATGCTTTTGTTTGCTCGGTGTATGTTTGCGAGGGAGAGAGAGAACGAGAGAGCGAGCGAGCGAGAGAGAGAGAGAGAGACATATGGCGAGAGAGAGAGAGAACGTGCGTGCGTGAGTGAGCCAGGACTCTTCGCTTCCTCGCCACGCGCGTGGCCGCATAATCATAACGATAATAGTATCATCCTTCTGTCTGGCCAATTTCCGCTCTGGCCAATCTCATTCCGCTTTGGCCAATTTCATTGGAACTCTTTGCACGGTTTCTCAAAGAAGATATTTCTTCTTGGGGCGAGTTCTTGTGTGGCTCTTCTGGGTTCTTCCTCGGTCCGGGGGCGGGTTCGCTATCTCTCCCGGCACCTATGCGCAAATACCTGGACAGAGTCCAGTACATCACGGACCTTTCACTCGGCTTGCCAGCCCCTGAATTGTTGTACAATTCGATTGCAATCAGCGTGTTGGGGTTCGTCTTACAGCTGGTGCAGCCAACCACAAATCTCCTCAGGACCGAGCGTGCGATGCTTCGCAAATCGGTCGCTGGGCCGGGAAACTGACTGTCCCCGAAATTCGAGTTCGATCTCGACCTGCTCGGAGTTCCAGTGCCGTTTCGTTCTACCACGGCCCTGCATCTTACATCTGCGGGCAGGACCTTGCCCACGACATGCTCTGGGCGGCGAGCCAGCTTCAGCTTAACTGCAGCGCGCTGCTCGGAGTGACCACGCTCTGCTGTGTTTTGGAGGTGGCGATCGTGGCTTGCTCACTTGGCAGTCCGTGTGTTGGACCGGGCACAGACCCGGCTCAGCACAATGGGAGTGCATTGATTACGACTCGTGATGAGGCTGGGGCTGACCAAGCAGCAATTTACAGGCAACCGCGTGACCGCTGATTTCCGGCGTGCCCTGCTCGGAGACGACTGTACAGGTGGGGCCACATTTTAGGACCATCGAAGCTGCGTGCGCGTCTGCGCGGAGGGGCCTGTCCAGATTGCGCTGCCAGGTTCTTCCGTGTGTCTTCGCTGCCTGCGTCCATGCTCTTTTCAATGGCTGGACAACCGCCCGGCGCTTTCACAAGGAAGACCCGATTCCAGGGGGTCGGCGGTTTGTTAACCTCTCTCTCCCTCCGTTGTACCACCGAGCGAGACACATTTAATAGTGGTAGCAACGCCAATGAGTGTGTAGTGTTTGTTGCGTCGGACAAAACATCCGACATCGCGCGGATATATGATGCAAACAAGCGAGGGAGAGGGCATAACAGCGATATCCCTCAACGTGAAATAACATTATTTCGCAATGCCAGCGTGCGTGGATGTGTCGGGCATTGCCAGCGCTACCCTCACCAGGCCCTTTCCATACGACGAAAACGTGTTTTGTTAGCGTGCCTTTGCCTTTCGTGCCCCTGATGCTCCTGCGTCCCGTCGTTGAGGCCCGAAGCGAGGGGAAGAGTACGAACACCTTCACCCATCCCGGCGCCTCTCGCTTGTACGCATGGTCCGTGGCCGCGCTGGGCTGCAGCACGTGTTTGCACGTCAGCGCTCTGGCTAAGAGAGCTGTCGATCGCCTTGCAGTTGCAATCCCATCCCCGTTCTGCCATCCTCCGCGGGGTGGATAAGAGGGAAGGAAGGAAGAGGGAGAGAGGTGCGGAACGGAGGGGCAGGGGGAGACAGTAAGAAGAGGAGGGGGACGATGAATGAAAAAATAGACAGGTGGCTGGCAAGGGCTGGTGCGAGTATTCCAACGTCGAGCCCGGCACGGATCCCGAGTTCCCCGACGCAGAGAAGGCCATGGCCTTTTCATCTTGAACGTGTTGGGGTCTCCCTTGCCTTCAGATGAGTTGGCTAGGTTGATTTGATGGTTTTGTATTTGGATTGAACTGTTCCCACTGGGTAAACGTAGGACTAATGCGTGACGCTTCGCGTATCCCGAGAGGCCCATCCAGCACCGATTGCCAGGCGAGTTGCCATGAACAGGGAAGGACATGTATGAGCATGCAGTGGAACAGACATGTGAGCCAGCCGTCGATCCCAATTTCGGAATCAACCTGAGCATACCCATGAGTGGAATGTTTGAGCCTGCCGTCGAGGTGGGAGGAGGATGCGGAGGAGAGCGTGGAGAAATGTGAACGGGATGAGGGATGAGTACACAGTGTGAGGCGAGAAGAAAGGTGAGAGGCATGAGGGGCAGGAGCAGAAACAAAAAGAGGATGACGACGGCAGGAGTCAACCATGAAGACCTTGACGGGGCTTTCTCTCTAAGAGATTCTTGGACGCCTTTTAGAACAATATTGGGACCCTCTTGGTGCCAGTCTGGGAGCTTCCAATGCCCTCTTGAGGCCCACTTGGGGCCCTTTGGGAGGCCTTGGGGGCCCTCGGGTATTGGTCGAAAACGCCAAGCGGGGTCATGGGGTCACCTTGACCATTCAGAGTTAACGCATATATATATATATGTATATATAAATATACACATATTTATACACGCATATTAAGACTACATATACACATACATTTGTGTGCACGTGTGTATATATATATATATATTTATGTATGTACATTCGTGTGTGTGTGTGTGTGTGTGTGTGTGTGCGCGAGCTATTCGGACCCTCTTTGGGCGCTCTCGGGGTAGACTGGGGCCTCTCCTGGGCCCCCTCTGGGACTCTCTTGCGCGATCGTGGGGCCATCGTGGTGCTTCGAAGGTCCCGCGGAGCCAACGTGGAGAGAAGGCGCACGTCATTTCTCTCGTACCGTCTTATTTGCACCTCGGGGGTTTCCTCGGGACGCTCCGTGACCACTTGCAGCCGTCCTGGGGATGTGCCGCTTCCAATTAGGAATAATGGAGGACACATTGAGCCATCTCGCAGTTCATCTGGAGCTACAGTGGAAACCTATGCCAAGAAACACCCTGCTTGCCTCCAGGGTGCCCTGGGTTTCTTGATGTTCGACAGTTTTGCTGTGAAAAGCGTGACGCTCCCACACCAAAAATCAATCGGCGTCCTGCTGTCTCAGGGTCGGGTTTCTTGTGGACGGTTTCTTGTGGTTGAGTTCCTACTGTGCTAGAGACAGTCGTGGACCCATCTTCTCCCACCAGCCTCCCAATACTGTCACCGACTTGGCACACGCTTCCAATCACTTGTTTCTGTTTTCACATATGTCGGCCTCGAGCGAGGGGGGCGGGGACGGCATTAGCCCCACTTCTCTGGAGCTGCATCAGCCGCCTCTTGGGGCCCCTCGTGGCACGCTCGTGGAGCATTCTTGGGCTCTCTGGGGGCCGTCTTGGAGCCCCCGTGCGCCCCTGTTACTTGGCATCGCTCGGACGTGTGCATTTTTCCTTCGGCGAGGACCATCGAGGAGCATCCTTGATCATTTGGCGAAAAAACATGCACGAAACCGAAAAACGCACAGGGAATGGACGTCCGAGCGATGGCGAGGTCAGGGGGTCTGCTGGGGCCACCTTGGAGCCACCTCGAGGAAGCCCACGGGGACGGACCCCGTCGAGAAAGCAGCCGCACGCGATGCTACCTACACGTTTTTGGACGCACGCTGGCCTCTCGGCACCGCCTTGGGGCGGTAGTGATGCCCCTTGGAGGCAGCCTCGATGCCGCATCGGACTACGCTGCTCTGCTTCGAGCAGGGCCGATGCCATCCGCGGGCCATCCCGTGCCATCCTCCTGGACGCTCCGACCGCTCGCGGGGCGCCCCGTCCTGATCCGTGGGGAGGGGGGTAAAAGGGGATTGCAAACATCTTTCGAGGGGGAGTGGGGGTCTTGTACAGTCGGGGCCCTGAAGAAGGAACCCCTCTGGTTGGGGAGGGGCTCGGTGTTCCTTGATTGTTTCGCAGCTTGCCTCAAGTTTTCCTTAGATTTTCGATGGGAAGTCGAAGGTTAACTTCTGGGAAAAACGGCGCCTCGTTCCTTATTTAGGGTTCCTAAGGTCAACGCCCCGACTGTATGACACCCTTGCGGCAAAACACCCAAAGCAGCAGCTGCACAGTTGCGATAGGTGGCTGCGGTGGGGGGTCACGACGGGGGGCCACGATGTGGGGATCGGGATAGGGATGGGGGTAGATGATGGGTCTAGGGATAAAAGGGGGAGGGGCGGGACAGAGGAATAAGGGTTGGGATACCAGAGAAGGATACATGACTACAACCCTCGTCAAAATTGACCTCAAAAATGTCTGATGTGGTTGAACTGCTTGTCGGAAGATCTGGGGCCGAATATAGATGAGTGCGGGGTACTTGCATGCGCCGCCCCTCCAATGTCGGTCGACGTCAAATGTTCGAGTCAACTTCGGCCAGAGTATCTTTGCCCTCGCTCCGACATTGAAGGGGCGACGTGTCGACATTGAGGGGCGCGCCGAAATCGAAATGACGTGCCAACAACTTTTGGGGTTAATTCTGACATCTTCTCGAGGGGGAGTGGGGGCGTTGTACATTCGGGGCGCTGAAGAAGGAGCCCTTTTCGTTGGGGAGGGGCCCCGTGTTCCTTGATTGCTTCGCAGCTTGCCTCAGGTTTTCCTTATGTTTTCGATCGGAAATCGAAGGTTCACTTATGGAAAAAAGGGGCCTCGTTCCTTATTTATGGTTCCTAAGGTCAACGCCCCGACTGTATGACACCCTTGCGGCAAAACACCCAAAGCAGCATCTGCACAGTTGCGATAGGGGGCTGCGATGGGGGGTCACGATGGGGGGCCACGATGGGGGGATCGGGATTGGGATTGGGGCAGATGGCGGGTCTAGGAATAAAGAGGGAGACGGGCGGGACAGAGGAATGAGGGTTGGGATAACAGAGAAGGATACATGACTAGGGATATGAGAGGCGGGACAGAGGAATAAGGGTTGGGATAACAGAGAAGGATACATGACCAGGGATCTAGGGATGGTGATCTGTGGGCAGGTATTGGGAAGGGGGTAGGGATACGGGCAATCGGTAGGGATAATCTGCATAGCGAGGCGCTGGGATAGACGGGGGGGGGGGAAAGGCGAGGGATAAGGATGGATAATCGGAAACAATTGGAAGCAACGGGGGACAGTTGGAGACAGCGTGAGGCATTAGGAGTCAACGGCAGATAATGGGGATAAGGATGGGGGGTGTACAGAGATGGGGGTAGGGGTAGGGATAGGGATACGGATAGGGATAGAGAATGGGTGAGATCTGAGAACAGGAGACAACGGGAGTTAACGGGAGACAACGGGAGGCAGCGGAAGCAATTTGAGCTAACGGGCGGCGACGGGAGACAATGGGACACAATGGAGGACAGCCAGAGGCAACGGGAGAACATGGGAGAAAACGGGGGACAACGTCGCCAGGCTGATTCTGAATCCTGCGGGCCATGTTCTTGCTCCTTTTCAAAACATAGATGGACCCCTACAGGTAAGCTGTTTAGGGGAAGAGGAACCTAGCTAAACCACCTCGGCCAAGAGGGCTGCCTGGATTAGAGTGGCCGTAATCTGAACAGGTTGAATGTGTTTCCGTTGATTAAGATGTCACCGGGATGGCAATCCTTGCACGGCAAGCCACACACACACAAGTCGTCGGAATAGCTTGGGCAACGGTGCGATCCCCCAGAGGACAGCATCTTCTTCTTCATCCATCCTGCTGTTGCTTCTGTTCCTCCTCATCCCTCCACTCTCAATTCTCCATCTTTCTGCCTACTACCTCATTCCTTCTCTTGCCCCCCTCCGCCTGCCCCATCCCTCATCACCATCGCCCTCCCACCTTGCTCATCCCTTCTTCCCCCCTTGGTCCTCGTGCTCCTCGTGCTCCTCGTCCCCGTCCTCATTGCGCTCGGGCATAGCCAGAATGTCGTGTTGTCCCAATTGTCCTGCTTCGTGTTCTCGTTCTGAAGAAAGCACTGCTCACGCATCGTCACCTCTTCTCGCCATTCGCCTTCCAGTGCGAAGTGGCCTTCTTGAGTGTGGTTCTCGCTTTGGATAGGGCGTTGCCCGCGCGTCTTCGCTTTCTTCTCCTTACCCCCTTCAGCTGTTTGCCTCCTATCAGCATGCTTCCTACATCGTTGCGGTGACCGTCTGCACAACTGTCTCCACTCCTAGTGGGGTCATGGGAGGTCCAGCGGAGCGGAGGGACACGCAGACCTGGACGAAAGCTCATTACTTCCCTCTGGACTGCCAACCGCGCAACTGATGCTTCTTTCGTATGCTCCTGGGAGGTCCTGCGGAGTGGGGGGACACGCAGACCCAGACGAGACCTCGCGGCCCCCTGGGATGGCTACCACCGGTGCAGCCTGTTGCCACTTTTGTGGGCTCCCAGGCGGCCCAACAGAGTTGGGGGATATGCATCGCTCGGACCCCACCCTCCCCCTCAGAAATCGGGGGGGGGTAGGGGTAGGGTTCACATGTGGCCCCCCAACGCAGACCCAGACGAGACCTCGCGGCTCCCTGGGGGGCTGCCAAAGGCGCAGCTGTTGCCACTTCTGTGGGCTTCGGGGAGGCCCAGCGGAGCGGAGGTGTACGCAGATCCAGCGGCTCCCCTGGGAGGCTGCCAACTGCGCAGCTGTCGCCGCTCTCGTTGGCTCCTGAGAGTCCCAGCGGCGTTGGGGAACACGCACGCCCAGACGAGGCGGAGTGATGCCGGGGGAGGTTTCCCGAGGTTTCCTGAGGTGTGCGGGCAAGCAGGGTTGCCAGTTTTTATTAGCGCCGCCTCCATGTGGCCTCGGGTGGGCGAGCAGAGGCCAGTTTGGCCAACGACGGGGGCAGGGAATGAAGCGCAGCAGCCCTCGAGGCATGAGTGCAGAAGCGTGCCGCTCGCGGGCGGCCAAGAGGAGGGTGGGGAGTGCCGGTGGGCGATATCGTGGCCGTGGCCAAGATGACTCCCAGGTTTCATGGCCAGTTTTTCGTCTTTCAACGCGTCCCCTGGCCCCTACTCGTCTGCGCACATGCCTCGGGCCACAATGCGCAGCCCCGCTTCATCCCGACCCCCCTCCTCGGCGCACCCGGCCTTTCTAGTCAAGCAGGTCATGTTGTTCGGGTGTTGCTGGAAGTACCCCTGGCCCAAGGTACCCCCAGGATTCTCGGGTTGGCCCAGATGGCCTCCAGGGCACCCCTCACGAGGCCCAGGGGGCCCCAGGGGCTACAAAATGGAGCGAAAAGCTGGGGGCACCTTGGGCTAGGGGCACTTCTAGCAACCCCCGAGTTGTTGCTGTGGGAATCTGGCACTATTCGGGGCTGCCTTGGTTTGGCTGGTTGCGGGTGCCTCAGGGCGTGCTGGCACACGTCTCGGTTATTCTGGAACCTTGCGATGCCCCCCTCCACTGTCCCATCCGCGCTCACTCGTTCGGCCTTTTCTCATCTCCCGTCGCACGGAAGGGGGAGATGGGGACAGGAGGAGTTGCGGAATCTGTTGCGTGCCGCCGGCTCCGACGCCACCGCCTGGCGCATACCCTCGACACGTGGGCGCCGTAGGCGCCATGGGGGCCTCTGCGAGAGCCAGCTGCGCGAGCGGATTCGCTGACCCTCCCTTCGCTGTCTCCCCTGTCGTCCGATCCGATCCTCTGCTCTTCCTCCCGGCCTGGTCTCGTGCCCCCCTCCGCGCCCCACGCCTCGTGTCCCGAGGTCTACCGCGGCGTCTGCTCCAGCCACATCTGCGTCTGGGGCTCAGACGATCCTGCCCCGTCGGCGGACCTAGGATTGTGTCGGGCCTGTCCCCCTATTAAGGGGGTTTCTCGACGACGAATAAAACATACCCCACAAATTATCAACACAGACTGTCAAACATAGTCGGGGGACCATTTTTTGTGTATTCATTTAGCCTTTTTGGGGCATTCTTGGGGTATTTTGTTTTTCCGTCGAAAATCCCCCTGTAGGGGGAGAGGCCCGACTTAAATCTAGGATAACGAGAAGTGTGATGTCAATAAGACCAGTGGGTGGCGCAGGAGTGAGGAAGCACAGCAGCTGCAGGAGTGGGAGGAGGAGACGGAGAACTGATTCAGCAGCAGAAGCAATCTGGAGTAGTAGAACAGACCCAGTCGGCTAGGTGAAACCAGTCAGCGGGCCACTCCAATTCCCACCCTCCATCCCATACCATACGAACCACTTGTGGCACAACTTGATACTGACTGGGCTCATTTCGATTCCTCCGATTCGATTCAATTCGATTTCGGTGGCTTCCGATTCCGATTCGATTCGACTCCGCATTCCGATTTGGATTCGATTTCTCAATGTAGGCCTACTAGTCTACCGATTTCCGTCGATTCGACTTTTCCCGACTTGGTTGCCGATGTTCGCCGTTCCGACTCATTTCGATCGCCGATCCGACTTATCGATTCGACTCTGGGCTCTCCTGTACTGAGTTTGCAGTGCGTTCGGGATGATATGGAGGATGTGGTGGGAGTGGATTCAAATTTTTGATTCCTGTTGCAGATGTGGAAGGTCAGGCGACTATTCACAATCACTCGCTGTGCGTCGGTCATCTCGCAGGGTCGGCAGTTACGTCGAGACAGCGACGCCGCGACAGCTAAATCGTGACTTTGGCGTTGACTTTGCGTTGACTTTATATTTAAGATATGTATTGCATCATATGCGCAATCCTTCGATGCAGACTTAGCTGTTATCGGCTCGTGTCGTTAGCCATCTCTTCCTTCGTTTTGAGTTTATACTTGTCCAAGAGGTTTGCGCCATGCGGCCGACACCCGATGCGTATCTTAGAAACCGATGTGCGAAGGGAATAGGGAGGCAAACTAAGACGAATTCGGTCACCTGTTTTAAATATCGTCCTTCGGCTTTTAGAGAGCCGTCAAGAGATCCGTCAAATGCGATGCGTGAAGCAAACCAATCGTACATGTGGCACGTCTCATCCCAGGTATCTTGGACGCCGTAACGCGTTACACGCTGGTCTGCAGGCTTTCCTAAGTTGTCTTGGGCCGTCCTCTCTGTCTCTCTCTTTCTATCTAGCGGGCGTCGTACCAATTCCGCCACTACACCTGGGTCGGGGGTGCTGCGACAGGAGGAGGAGGGGGCAGCGCGGAGGGAGGGAGAAGGAGGGATGACGGATAGATGGTAGATGAAGGGTACGAGTGCGACGAAAGCGATGGGGGGAGCTTGCGGAGGAGCGAAGCGGGCTTCCCGACGAGCTTGCCTGGGTACACACGGTCCAAGACGCCATCACGTGTTCGAGGCTCGAGCATCAGTACACCGACACCACATGAGCAAGCACTCAACACCAGCAACGACGCCAGCTGACGCACGCCGTCGCTGCATTCAAGGACTTCCCCCCTTCTACCCCTCCAATCACAACATACTTTAGGTGTCGCACGTTCTACAATGCTTTCTCCCACAGTGTCCTACGCATTCCGTTGGTCTCGGCCTTCCCCACCATGTATCAGCATGGCCTGAACAACTGTCCGCAGCGGTGGTCACCTTATGTCTTGTCGTCTTCTTCTTATTATACTTCTTCCTATTTTTGTCTTATTACTCTTCTTACGCATCTTCTTCTTTCTCCCCCCAGGAGGAGGACAATGAGGGAGGAGGGTGAGTGCGAAGGAACAGTAGTAGCAGCAGGAGCCGGAGCAGAAGAAGATGAGCAGGATGAGGAGGATCAGGAAGATGAGGATTGATACATTTGGGTCGGCAAGGCGATGATCATACGTAGTGGGAGGGGTCCCGAGCAAAGAAATGACGGGTCTGGCGGGGGAGAAGGTTGACGAGGGGAAGGAGGAAGGAGAAGAGGAGCAAACCCTGACCTCGAGGAGCAAACAGCGACACAGACAGTAACCTCCGCAGGTCCGCGCAGGTCTCTTTATCGGCGCTGATCGCCCCTGGCGGCGGTCCCAGCGCCGCCCCGCACACGCTGTCCCCCGCCTCTGGGGAGATTCGGCGCCCCTTCGGTGCCGAGGACCTGAAGCCGGGTGACGACGTGCTGCTCACGGGCCCCACCGGGGCGGAGATGCTGCTCCCGGAGGGGCTGGGGCCCAGGCGTTGCTCGTGGACGGGAGTGGTTGGACCCAAGGATCGCCAGGCAGTGCCAAGGGGGTTCACCATGTAGGGAGGGCTCGTAGGCTAGGCCTCCCAGATGGTGTCAGCGCAGATCGGGTCGGAGGATCGCGGCGCATCGCCGATGCGTCGGCGATGCGGCTCGATGTGGAGCTTGATTGTCTCCACTCCAACGGCACCGATACGTCGGCGGCATCACGGGTGCATCTGCGATGCATCGCCGATGTATGGGCGATGTGGCGCGATTCTCCGACCCCATCTATTTGGACCCGACCTAGAAAGCCTGTAGCCAAGGGGGTTCACCATGTAGGGGGGGGCTCGTAGTGGGGGGGGGCGAGCTCAGCGTCCCTCGGCCAGTGCCGGCGGGGGGGTCTCCAGGATTCAGGAGGGGGTCCCCATGATTTAGGAGGGGGTCACCATAACATGGGGGGCACCATAATATAGGGGGGGTGTCACCATAATTTGGGGGGTACACCATACTGTAGGGGGGTCACGTATGTGGGGAGGGTCGATGGGGTAGGGAGGATCGAGGATCAGGGAGCCTTGGGGGACGGTCCTTAGGGCGATTTTTTAAGGATTATTTTTGACTATTTTTAATTTCTCTTCCAAAATCCGACTGTAGGAGGACATGCCCGACCTAACCTTGGCACTGTCTGGATTGCGCCCGACCTTCGGCTGGAAGGTAACTTGGAAGCACCGACACCTCTTGGGGACGAGGTGGCAGTCTTAGGGGCCTCTCTTTGGGGCCCCTCTTGGGGCCCCTTTCCCACCCCCCCGCGGCCGCCCCCCACGCTCTTACTGCTGCCCCCTCCCTCAACCTCCGCCCGAAAGGCGGGGCCAGCACGCGAACCCAGCAGGAGGCCAGCGTTTGGATTCCTGGGGGTCTCCCGCCGCGTTTTTCCTCTGGCCCCCCACCGTGGGCCCTACCCTCGAAGAACAAACAACTACATACACATTAACTTTCGAAGTCCCCGCGAAGGCGTGCATGCCCTGGAACCCTCTAGACGGTGGTGATTTCGGACCTTCCGGAATTCCAGAAGAGGACGGCATGCAGTCAACGTAAGGACGTACGCCTTCATCTAGGGTGCCCTTGTGTCCTTGCCTCTGCGGCCCGTCCAGTGCCGCTTTCACTGGTCGCCCGCTGCCCAACAAATCCCAGTTTCGGCATCCAAGGGTCCTGCGTTCTGACTGCACGTTTTGCCCGTAGGAACTGTGGCACACATCTCTGCGGACCTCTGGGATGGGCGCTCGGGGATGGGCGCTGGGATGGGATCTCTGCGATGGGCGCTCGGAGGTCCCTGCGGATCTCTGGGATGGGCGCTGGGCTCCCTCCCCGGCGCACGGGGCGCGCAGGGGTGCGGCGCCGCCAGCGCCGATCCAAGAAGTCCGTGCGTGCCTCCGAAAGTTCGGGTTTTTTTCGAGAGCACTGACTGCGAGAGTGCGATTCACGTCGATCTTGGGCGTTGGTTTCGAGAGTACGATTTCGAAAGTAGACGTGCATGAACCCACATCGGTTTCGTCACGAGTGTGGATTGCGCGAACGTTCGTATCACGAGGCTGAACTCGCGGACTGGGGGGCAGTGCTGATGTTCGTGGTTGGGCGCGTACGTCCTTTGGGGGCTCCCTGTTTATGTCGTTGCTTCTTCTTCCAATGCGACACCCGCAGATTCCACGAGTCTGGGGAGTGTACTTCCCCAAGCAGGCCCTGTCAGGAATTCACAGGCTCCTTCGGTTCACGGGCGGTCGCATACGCACTTTCCGCGTGGAGCATCCGCGAGAGCCCGCCCTGCACCCCTGGGGTCGCGGCCCAGGGGCTCGGCCCGAGAGGCCATGGATCTGGGTAGGTTTCTCGCCCGCGATCTGTGCAAGATGGCTGGTTGAGATTTGCCGTCTCCCCGGCCAGACTCTTTGGGGATGCCTCCCATGGTTTCTCGGGGGTGCCCCCTGCTGGTCCTTGAGGACCGCTCGGCCTTGAGATATGCAGAATGCAGTGGGGTACAGCGCAGGTCTCGTTCAATGCAAACATCTCGAAGCAAAGCAGTGCAATACGATGCAGAGCGGTTCAAATCCGTGGTGGGTTTCTCATCCTTCTCCTCGCCCGACACCCTTCTTAGTCTGTGTTGCTTTCCTCTGCTCAGACGCAAGAGCAGTTGACATGGAGGACAGCTGCGATGGAGTTTGTGGGAGGGTTCCAGGCCGATCCCTCCGAGAACATCGTGATGCTCGTCGGGGGCTCAGCGCAAGTGCCTTTAGCCTGGGTAAGAGCAAACAACACATTCATTTTGCAGATGGGACGTCAACGGGTGATGAGCATGCGCACGACCATGAGCACGAGAAGGACGAGGAGGAGGAGGGACGTGGGAGGAGGGAGGAGGAATGGGGGCGGCGGAGAGCGAGATGAGGAGGAGGAGGAGGAGGAGAAGGAGGAGGCGGAGGAGGGGGAGAAGGAGGAGGAGAAGGAGGACAATGATGATGATGATGATGCTGATGCTGATGATGCTGATGATGATCATGATCATGATGATGATGATGACGATGATGATGACGCTGATGATGATGATGATGATGATGATGATGATGGTGATGGTGGTGGTGATGATGATGAGGATGATGCTGATGATGATGCTGATGATGCTGATGATGATGATGCTGATGCTGATGCTGGTGCTGATGATGATGATGATGACGATGATGCTGCTGCTGATGATGATGATGATGATGATGGTGGTGGTGGTGATGATGATGATGATGATGATGATGGTGGTGGTGGTGGTAATGATGATGAGGAGGAGGAGGACGATGAGGAGGAGGAGGAGGAGGTGGAGGAGGAGGAGGAGGAGGAGGTGGCAGGACTATTTGCGCGTCGCCGAGTGAGGTCAGCGTCTCTGCTAGAAGGCCCCCCAGAGGATGCGAAATCCCTTCCCAGACTCGTTCAGAGGTGAAGGCCGCCGCAGGATTTACTTTCCGTCCTGAGCCACTGGCCGTGCATCTGATTGTGCAACTTGTCGTGCTGCAGCGCCACCCCCCCTCAGCGTTGTTCTCTTGCCCCGCAGCTTGGGCAAGCCTTGCCAGGCCGCAGCTGCGGCTGCCTCCAGGGCAGACGCACGGCTGCTCAGGGCCCTCCGTGGCCCATTGGATTCATCGACCAGATCCGACCCGATTTCGATCGATTCCGATTCCGATTCCGATTCGATTTCGGAATCCGATGTGGATTTCGATTTGTCAATAGGGGGCCTCCCTGACCTGCCGAGTTCCGCCGATTCGGCTTCCGCCCGACTTGGGCGGCTGATCCCCGCCGACCCAATTCATCACGACCGAGGTGGCGACCCATCGATTCGATTTTCTGGGCTCTCCGGGCCCTCACACGGAGCGCCCGAGGAGCGCCCGCCCTTCCCCCAGGCCTGCCCTGCCGGGAGGAGCGCCCGCCCTTCCCCCAGGCCTGCCCTGCCGGCCGCTGGACGCACTGGGCCTCGGCGGCCAAGCCGGCCAGACCCTCTCAGGAGGTGAAACAACACACAGCCACGACTCATCGTCGATTCCCCAGAACATCTGGGAAAATATGGGAAGTGGGGAGGAAGACAGAAACCAGTAACAGTTGGGAAAATATGGGCGATCCTGTTTTTTGCCTTCACTGTCGTCGTCTTTTAGACGAGGAAAGGTACCGATACTGTTACTCTTCACCCATTTCCCCCTTTCTCGGCCTCCTGGGAGGCCCTCGTCGCCACCGCTGGACTCGCCTCGAAATCCTGGTCAGGACGCCCCAGGAGAGGTCCAGGGGAGCAGCGGCATCCGCACCGAGCAGCGGCATCCGTACCCGTCGGTGTCCCTGTTCGTGCTGGCCCCGGTGCTGTGCAGCACGCTGTCTCCTGGCCATCGGGGGCGGAAAAGAGGGGGGTGATGACTAGGGGGGGGTGGATATCATGCCGCGGGCCATGATATTTCCCCAGATTTCATGGCGCCTCTTCTTATTTCATTACGTCCCTGGCCCCCCCGCTGGGCCGCGCACATGCCGCCGGTCATGATTTGCACCCCCCCCTCATGGACACCCCCCTCTTTGCCGCTCCCGAGGCCAGTTCAGGACTCGCGGACCGTCCTCGGCAGCGCCCGCTGGCACGTCGCGGTCGGTCCTCGGAGCTCTGGCTCCGCGGCCGCTGGCAGTCGTCCTGTCACCCCCGTCCTCGGAGCCATCGGTCCCGTCGTCGGTCGTGCTCTCCCGAAGGGGGCGCGGCAGCCAGGCTTGCGGCCGCTGGCAGTCGTCCTGCGGCCCCTCCTCGGAGCCATCGGTGCCGTCGGCGGCCATGCTCTCCCGAAGGGGAGGAGGAGGAGGAGGAGGAGGAGGAGGAGGAGGAGGAGGAGGAGGAGGAGGAGGAGGACAAGCTAGGTGCGCTCGCGTCATATCTGACGTCCTACCCCTCCCTCCCATCCCTTACCATGGCGCTGATTTTCTCTATCCGCGGACGCGTGTCGTAGCGGACCTGTGGCTCCGCGCGCGCGTGCGTAGTGGGTGGTGGTGCGTGCGTGCGTGCGTGCGTGCGTGCGTGTGTGCGTGGTGGTGGTGGTGGTGGTGGTGGTGGTGGTGGTGGTGGTGGTGGTGGTGGTGGTGGTGGTGGTGGTGGTGGTGGTGGTGGTGGTGGTGGTGGTGGTGGTGGTGGTGGTGCGGCGCGGTGGTGGCGGGCGGATGGGCGCGCGAGAAAGAGGCCCGCGCTGGGGCGAGAACGCCATCCTGAACGACGGAGGCCAAACACCGATCCGAAAATGAGGCCCACGCTGCAGCGGGAGCACGATTCGGAACGATTCGGGAGCAGAAATGAGGCCGGCGCCTCAGCGACAGCAGCATTTTGAAAAAACGCAAGCGAAAATCCGTTTCCCGGGAATCCTGTGTGTAAAAAACAGTACGCGGGGGGGTGTCGGATATCTTCGGACGCCATCAGGGGAAGTGGGAGAGTATTTTCATATTGTGTAATTGTGGAGGAGGAGGAGGAGGAGGAGGAGGAGGAGGAGGAGGAGGAGGGGGAGGAGGAGGAGGAGGAGGAGGAGGAGGGGGAGGAGGAGGAGGAGGAGGAGGAGGAGGAGGAGGAGGAGGAGGAGGGGGAGGAGGAGTGCGCCTCGCGGGCGGAGCCTCGGCCGGAGGCGGTGGCGCCCCAGGAGGGCGGTGGCCCGAGGAGGCGCCGAGCCGCCGCCTCCGCGGGCCACCGCCGCTGCCCCGATGGGGGCGCGGCGCTGCCGCGCTCGGCGGCGGCTCGGCCTCTCGGCGGGGCTCGCCGAGCGCGCTCCGCTACTTTACTCGTGAATTTAATTGGTTTTAAAAATGGCCGCAGCCGCGCAGAGGACGTGCGTGGCGACGCCCCACATGCTCGGTCTCCAGTACTTCTACGTGGCGGCGCCCCCGCAGGCACGCAGAGGGCACGCAGAGGGCACGCGTGGCGACGGGGGCGTCGCCACGCAGAGCTTCTAAAGACCAAACATTTTGAAAACCAAGTGTTTCCCTACTAAAGTACTCGCAACATGCCCGCCTGCGAACGTCCGCAGAAGTATCGGAAACGTATCGGCGAGGTGCCGAAGCTTGCCTGCTCCGATGTAGTGCATCGCGGGTCACCACGGGCGGATCCAGGCCATCTGCGAGTACTTACTCCTGCGAGTCGTGGAGCGCGCTTGTCTAGAGATGGCTGTCCCTGCCGTGCTGCGCCTCGCGGGTGCGAGCAGCGGATTCGGCTCGTGCGGCGCGGCGTCGAAGTGGCCTCGTCGCGCTTGGCTCGTGAGCGTATCCCTGCACGCCCGCCGTGCGCCGGGTGTTTTTTCGGGAGGCCGGGTCGTCGGGCACCGCAGCGCGTACTGGCTGCTGCTCGGCGGACGCAGTGGATCGGTCCGAACGAAAGGGGGGGATAGGGAAGGGGGGGGAACGAAATCTGCTGCATGCAGCTGGTTTCGGCCCCGCCGCCGGGCCCATTCCTCGACACATGGGCGCCTCCCGGCGCCGGGAGGCGCTGGGAAAATCAGGTACGCGAGCTGATTCTCTACCCTGCCCTTTGCTATCCCCTCCTTTCGTTCCCCCCGAGTGGAGCGGACGGTTCATGGCACGCCGATTCCCTCTGGCAGGGTAGTGTAAGTCGGGAATGTCTCATAGCGTGCGGGCTTGCTCGGCCTTATACTTAGCCTTGCTCCTTGTACCCACGAGTGGCGAGGCTCAAACGCAGGTTTCTGGACCTCCTGAACGTGAGTCTGGAGAGGCTCCCGTGCCTGGGCAGCGCCGTGGGCCAGGAGTCTATCTTGGGCGCACTTGCCACATGCTGCGCTGTTTCCTCAGAGCGGCCAAGAGCTTCCGCGGACATTCGCCGCCAGATGCTGGGGCACGTTCCGAAGATTCGGAGCACTGGTGCAAGGCAGGCGCGGCAGGCCACGGAGTCTTGTATCCCCGGGGTCTCAAGAGACGGGGCTCAATGCAAACTGGGGTCAGTCAGAGCGCCGGATCTTGCAGGATCCTGCAGAACCAGGGGTGCATTGACTCGGGCTTGGGTGCAGGAGCAGGATCCTGCAGGATTGTGCAGGACCCTGCACATCCCGACTGGCCCGGGTCTGGATTGACCCGGGTCAGTCGATCCCCGATCTCCTCCGGTGTGCCCGTTCATGCTGTGCTCGCCGCAGGCCCGCGCCAGCCCTCTCCCCAGGCCGAGGTGCACTGCGTGTGCTCGCAGGCCGCCTCGCCGCACCGCCAGGACGCTGCAACAGGGACCACGTCGAGTTCAGGAGGGGCTCAGGTCTTCGGGCTGCTCCTGAGATCTGGGCCAGGGGGCCTGTTCGTGGCCGCGCCCTGCCGTGGCAGAAAAGCCGAGCCCCTGTCGTTCCTGATCCAGCGTTCCCTAAGGTAGCACAAAGCCTGCAGGGCGTCCGCCGCTCGAGAGAGCAGTGCCCCTGAAGAGGTGGAGGTATCGGCGCTCGGCCTCGACGGAGGCACGACCCGGACGGCCGTGACGCGCGCGATGCCGCGCGCCGCGGTCCTCGGCGGCGCGGCACGGCTGCGGCCCCCACGCCCTGCACCGGTGGGCGGCCGCGTGTGGCTGCGCGGGGGGCGCGGGGCGGGGAGGGGTGGCAGGGAGGGAGGGAGGGGTGGTGGGAAGGGAGGAGGAGGAGGAGGACAAGCTGGGTGCGCTCGCGTCATATCTGACGTCCTACCCCTCCCTCCCATCCCTTACCATGGCGCTGATTTTCTCTATCCGCGGACACGTGTCGTAGCGGACCTGTGGCTCCGCGCGCGCGTGCGTAGTGGGTGGTGGTGCGCGTTCGTGCGTGCGTGCGTGTGTGCGTGGTTGTGGTGGTGGTGGTGATGGTGGTGATGGTGGTGGTGGTGGTGGTGCTGGTGGTGGTGGTGGTGGTGGTGGTGGTGGTGGTGGTGGTGGTGCGGCGCGGTGGTGGCGGGCGGATGGGCGCGCGAGAAAGAGGCCCGCGCTGGGGCGAGAACGCCATCCTGAACGACGGAGGCCAAACACCGATCCGAAAATGAGGCCCACGCTGCAGCGGGAGCACGATTCGGAACGATTCGGGAGCAGAAATGAGGCCGGCGCCTCAGCGAGAGCAGCATTTTGAAAAAAACGCAGGCGAAAACCCAACTCCCGGGAATCCTGTGTGTAAAAAACAGTACGCGGGGGGGGTCGGCCACTCCCAGCACGCCATCAGGGGAAGAGGGATAGTAGTATTCATATTGAGTAATTGTGGAGGGCGGGATGGTGGGAGGGATGGTGGGGAGGGATGGTGGGGAGGATGTGGGGAGGGAGGAGGGAGGGAGTGAGGGAGGGAGGGAGAGAGGGAGGAGGGAGGGAGGAGGGAGGGAAAGGAGGGGGAGAGGAGGAGGAGGGGAGGGAGGAGGAATGAGGAGGGATTAGGAGGGAGGGATAGAGGGCGGGAGGGAGGAGGATGAGGAGGAGGAAAATGAGGGGAGCGGAGGAGGAGGAGGGGAGGAGGAGGAGGAGAGGAGGAAGAGGGAGGAGGAGGAGAGGAGGAGGGAGGAGGAGGATGCGGAGGAGGAGCAGATTAGGAGCTTGGGACCTGCCTGTGCCCCTACTCAGTGAGCGAGCCGAGGAAGCAGGTGAGAAGCGGGAAGGAGGAAAGGGGGGGGAGGGGACGGAAAGTCTTAGGCGACGAGCCCAGGGGGGACATGAGAAAGAGAAGGCCTTCTCAGAAGGCCGCGGGACTTCTTAGAAGTCCGGGGGGCTTCTGAGACGTTTCCTTGGCCGATTTCGAATACAGACAGAACTTCTCAGAAGCCCTCTCAGAAGTCCAGAAACTTCTCAGAAGCCTCGGAAGTCCCGCCCCTTCTCATTTCCCCCCCGCGCCCGCCGCCGAAGTCTGGCATTCGCTTGGTCCATTCCGCAGCACGCCCTGCTTGCAAGCCCAGTGCGGCGGCCGCCCCGCACCTCCCGAGGCCACGGGCACGGGCATCGCCCCGTTCCGCTCCTTCCTGCGGTACCTCTTCCACGACAAGGCTCGCGCTCAGGGGGCCTGTCCGGCCATGCCCACCCTCTGTCTCCGGGGCCCGTCGAGATTGCTTGGGCAGAATCTGGAGGGATGTCGAGCCAAGAGTGCAAGGGCAGCAGCTGAGTACGCCGAGTTTTCATCACTACGTGATGACGGTCGTCCTGGAGATCCTCTTCCCTCGCCGTCTCTCTTCCTCCTTTCCCCCCCTGCCGCCCCCTCCCCCCTCCCTCTCCCGATCCCTCTCCCTCGCCCCCCCCCTCCCCCCCTCTCCGCCCTCCTCTATTCCCTCCCCTTTTCACCCCATTCCCCCTGCCTCCCCCATCCCCCCCCGCCGCCGACTGGCAGCGCGACCGCGGTGTCGACGGCCTTTGGGGGCCTTCGCGACGCACGCGGTCGCGAGCGTGCTCGCCCGCATCCAGGGCATCCGAGCGGCTGGCGCTCCCCCCCCCCTCCCTCTTCTCCTCCGCCCTCCCCGCCCGCTCCCCCCCTCCCTGGACATGGCCCGCCCGGCGAACACGGTCCCCCTCGGCGAGCCAGGCCTCCTTCCTCGATCTCGCTCGACCCCGTGCCCTCTTTCCCCCTCGCGCTCCCTCCCCCTGCTGGTATCCCCCCCCCCAGTCCTTCCCCTGTGTGCTGGTCCACCGAGCAGCGACGTGCTGTCTCTCCGATCCTGCCAGGGTGCGCCCTCGCTTGCAGCCGTGCTCCGGTGCGGAGCGTCTGCACCCCCGGTCTCCGCCGTCGGCGTCGGCGTCGGCGTCGTCTTGGTGCGCGCTGCTCTGCCCGGGACCTGCTTCCCTTGTGCCGTGGCCACCACCACCACCATTTAAGTCGGGCCCGTCCCTCTAGAGGGGGAGTATTCGGAAATAGTCAAACCATGGTCTGGGCATTATTTGTTGAGTTTTTTTGGGGGCATCTTTTGGGCATTTTCGGGGTATTCTTTCTTCAATCGCTGCGCTCATTCCGCCGGCCCGTATTGGTGCACGGCTGTCGAGTGCCCGTGTGATCGTTGTCAATGGGGTGCTGCTGGGTCGTTTTTTTGTTTATGGATGGCTGGCTTTGGGTGATTTCGCAGGCGGGAACCATTCTTTGCCCGCCTGAACCTTCTGTTTCGGAAGGTGGCGGCTCGTGAATACGATCGCAGGGAACAAGACAACATTCTGCAGTTTCCTTTTTGCATTCTTCGGGCCCCTTGTCGCTTGCTGGGGCCTCTTAGGAGCCTCTTGGGGCGTCCAGGAGGCCTCTTGGAGCGGAAGGCTCGGATTTTCGGTTCGTGGTCTCCATCTTGGGCCTCTCTTGGGGCCCTCTTGGGGTCCTTTTGGACCGTCTTGGGCGCCTCTTGGGCTGTCGTCGGGCTCTCTTGGACGGTCGTGGGCCTCTCTCGGAGGCCTCTTGGGCCGTCTTGGGGTGGTCTTGGAAGCTTCTTGGGCCGTCTTGGAGCGTCGGAAAGGCGAAAAGGCGAGGAAGTCAAAAACCTTGAAAAACCCAGTGGAAATCAATGGTTTTGGCGCTCTGAGGCTTCGTGGACGTTCATTGGGATCTCGTTGGATGCCTCTCGAGGGCTTCTTGGAGACTCTCGGGAGTCGTTGTCGAGCCTCTTGGGGTCTCTTTCGGGCCCTTTGTCGCCTTTTGGGGCCTCTTGGGGGCCCCTTGGAGCCTCCAGGAGGCCTCTTGGAGCGGAAAGCTCGGATTCTCGGTTCGTGGTCTCCATGTTGGGCCCCTCTTGGGGCCCTCTTGGGGTCTTTTTGGACCGTCTTGGGCGCCTCTTGGGCTGTCGTGGGGCATGTTTGGGGTATTTTTCATTTTTCGTCCAAAATCCCTCTGTAGGGGGACAGGCCCGACCTAACACCGCCACCACCTGTCCCTCGTGCCGGCTCTCCCCCACTGTCCGTCGTTCTCACTTCCCTCTCGCTCTTCCTCTCCTCGTCCTTCGTCTCCTTGTTCTTCTCCACTGTCCTCTTTGCTCCCAGTACCTCCCTCTCTTTTCCTTCCTGCCACTTGCATGCTTTCCTTCCCTGAGCACCATTCTCCCTCGTTTCCTCAACCTTCCTGTGCTGTTGGTCCTCGTTTTGAATCTGCAGCGCCGCGCGTCTCATTCCTCCACCCGTCTCCTTCTCCTCATGCCCCCTCCTCTTCGCCGTCATCATCTTCCCTCCTCCTTTCCCTTCCGCGGCTGCTGCTACGTCTCATGCGCTCCCTCCGGTACACCTCTCACGCGCATCGTGCCCCATAGGGAGCCCCGCAAATAGTCTTGGTTGAGGAGCTAGCACGGCGCCGATGCGCCCATTTCGGCACGCCCCGCAGGCGTATCGTGGCCCATGGGGATCTCCACGTAATCATGGTCCCAGTGGATCGGCTTGCACGAGGGCGCCGCTCCCATTTCGGCCCGTGACGCGGATCGTGCCCGAACATGAGCTCCGCCAGTGGCCCCAGTGGAGGCATTCCCGCTCTGCGGCGCCGCGCTCCTTTCGGCCCCCCCCCATCATGCGGATCTCGCGGTCAATATGGACCTCCGCTTATGGCCCGCTTGGGGGAGACCGCACGGCGTCGCGGAGCCCACGTCGGCACACCCACCACGCGGATCGTGTCCCATAGGGAGCTCCACCGATGACGGAGAACTCCGCACGGCGCCGCCGCGCTCCTTGCACTCCGGCACGCCCTTCGCGCGGATCGCTGCCAGCGTGGAGTTCCATCAAGCAGACATGTTTCCGCCTCCTGCTCCGCACAGGCCAGCCAGCCCTCACAGCAGAGCGAGCATGAGGTGCGCCAACTCCGGGAGGTGGAGGAAGAGGTGACAGAGAAGGGGGAGGAGGAGGAGGAGGAGGAGGAGGAGGAGGAGGAGGAGGAGGAGGAGGAGGAGGAGGAGGGGAGGAGGAGGAGGAGGAGGAGGAGGAGATGTTGGCATGTCCTGCCCGCGGAGCTCGCATCCCGGCGCCGCGCCCCGTTCGGCAGACCCCTCGTGCGGATCGTGGCCCCTGCAGGGAGCGGCACCCCGTGCGCCCGCCCGGGGGACCCCCCGGCACGGCCCCGCGGCGCGCCCCGGGTCGGCACGCCCCCCTCCCCCCCCCCCCCCCGCGCGGGTCGTGGCGCCCATGCAGAGCTCCACCTGCGGCAGCACGGCAGGGGGGAGAACTCGCACGGCGTCGCCCTCCAGAATCATGTCGGCAGAGGAGGAGGAGGAGGAGGAGGAGGAGGAGGAGGAGGAGGAGGTGGAGGAGGAGGAGGAGGAGGAGGAGGAGAGCGATCACCATCCGCGCGACCCGGACACGTTCCCTTGACTTTGTCCCAGCCTGTGCACTTTGGGCCCGCAGATTGCAGCCCATGCGAATGGGAACGTTTCCCCGATTTTGGCCCAGCGGATGTCCTTCGGACCCGGAGGAACATCCTAGTAGCATCCGCTTGATTTGCGCCCTATTGTGTTTGTTTCCCGGCGACTGTTTCAGTGAGACGGTGGCGTTATCATGTCTCTCCTGTTAGTTCATTCGCTTTTGACGCCCGATCGTTTGTTTGTGCGGTCTCTGCGCCTGCGTCGCCGTCTCCACCGAGTTTCCTTTTGTTTCCAGTGATATTGTTTCTTTTGTTGGCACCCTTTCGATACCAATCGCCTGCGTTGTTGGGCCCCGTTTTATATTATTCACGCTTCGCCTATCCCCACCAGCCCATTCAGAAGCCCTGCCCACGAGAGCTGACGGGAAAAGGGACGAAGGGACACATCCAGAGAAACAGAGCGTGCAACCAGGGTGAACCGAGAGATCTCTGGGAGCAAGGGGATGGCCTTGGAAGGCCTCTTCGGGTCATCCTTCGGGGCCGCGTGGGGGCGATTAGCAGAGGAGGAGGAGGAGGAGGAGGAGGAGGAAGAGGAGGATGAGGAGGAGGAGGAGGACGAGGAGGAGGATGAGGAGGAGGAGGAGGAGGACGAGGACGAGGACGTGGGATCATCTTGGATGCCATCGATTGCAGGATGGGGGGGTCCCCAGCTCAGCTTCCACCTCAGGAGCTGACAACCCGCTTCTTTGGGCTCTCTTGGAGCGCTCTTGGGCGCTCTTGGAGCGTTCTTAGGACCGTTTGGGGCATCTTGGGAGCCATCTTGAGCCAGCTTGGGCTATCAGAGCCATCTTGGAGGTCATCTTGGGCTCTCTGAGGCCGCTCGGGGGCCTCTTGGGGGCCTCTCGGGTGCCTCTCGGAGGCCTCGTGGGGCTTCTTGGGGCGCTCTTTGGGCCCTGTTGGGAGCCTCTTGGGAGCCCTGGAGTGCCTCTTGGGGCCATCTTGGGAGTTTCGTGAGGGGTGTCAAAACAATTGGCCCTCCCAGGGGCCGAACAAGGAGCTGGTGGGATTTTGAGCGCCGCACATCTCCTTCCTTCCTCCTCCTCTCCCTCTTCTTCCTCCTCCTCATCATCAATCTCATCCTCATCCTCGTCCTCGTCATCGTCATCATCATCATCATCATCATCATCATCATCATCATCATCATCATCATCATCAGCATCGTCCTCGTCCTCGTCCTCGTCCTCATCCTCATCCTCATCCTCATCATCCTCATCATCCTCATCATCCTTATCACCCTCACCCTCACCCTCACCCTCACCCTCACCTCATCCTCATCCTCATCCTCATCCTCATCCTCATCCTGATCATGCTCTTCTTCCTCCTCCTCTTCCTCGTTCTCCTCGATCCTCCTCGCACGCGCTGTCACCACTTAGTTTGGCACATATCTCACGCGACTCGTGCTCGATAGGGACCCCCGCAACTTGTCCCAGCGGCGGAGCTCGCATGGTTGCGCCGCGCCCGTTTTGGCACACCTCCAGGCCGGTCCTGACTCCACTTTCCCTCGTTTCGACTCCTTCCTTGTTCCCTCCTCCGTTACCCCTTCTGTATCCTTCTCCTTCCTCCTCTTCCCCGCTCCCTCCCTCCCTCCTTCCTTCCCCCGTTTCCCCTCCCACTCTCCTAGACAAGGCCACGAAGAACAAGTTCACAGGCGTCGCATGGCTCTTCCTCGGTGTTCCGTTCACCAAGTCGCTCCTGTATGATGCCGAGTGGAAGGCGATGCAGGCCGAATTCCCTGGCCAGTTCCGCTATGACTACGCCATCTCCGACGAGATGCAGCGCCCCGGCGGCGGCTCGATGTACGTGCAGCACAAGGTCCGACCAAAAAACAAATCGCGCTCACACACCCACATACACTTTCGGAGCTCCGCGCGGATTTCTTGGACCGGCGCTGCGCCTCCCCTGGCGGCGCCTCGGGCGCCGCCCCTGGCGCGCTCCGCGCACCTGGGAGGGGGGCCCCAACGCCGATCCAGGGAACCCGCGCAGAGCTCCGACGCAAGGTGCAGCAGTACGTCGAGGACATCTGGCCCATGGTCAAGAGCGGAAAGACGCACGTCTACATGTGCGGCCTGAAGGGCATGGCCACCGGCCTGGAGGAGGCCTTCGGCCCCTGCTGCGAGAAGGACGGTACCCGCGTGGAGGAAAACACGCCCAGTGCCCGCGGCCGCGCGGTGCGGACTCCTCGGCCGCGGCCCCGCGGATACACGGCGGTTGTGCACGGATTCCCCATGCGGAGCGGATCCATGGAATCGCGTACAGTCCGGGCCTTGAAGAAGGAACCCTTTTCGTTGGGGAGGGGCTCCGCGTTCCTTCAGTGTTTCACAGTTTGCCTTGGGTTTCCTTATGTTTTCGATCGGAAGTCGAAGTTTATCTTATGGGAAAAAGGGGCCTCGTTCCTTATTTAGGGTTCCTTAGGTCAACGCCCCGACTGTATCCATACGATCGCGCCGCAGTGTTCGGGCCGCGGGGGCATGTGCACGGACGTGCCCATCGCCCGCGAGGTATCGACGTCAAGGACTTCCTGAAGCAGCTCAAGAAGGACGGGAGGTACCACGTGGAGGTGTACTGAGCCGGGCCCGCCCTCCGCCTCCCCCAGGCCCTCGCGCCCACGCGCGCGACAGCCGCGAGCCGGCCTTGCTGGATCGCCTCGGCGCTCGGCTGGCGCACGCCCTCACAGGCGACCGTGGCCGGTCCAGAGGGGGCATCGATCCGGGCGGGGGCGGGGCAGACTCGGAGGAGGGCATGCTTGATGGGTCTGCTTTCCACCACCACCACCACCATAAGTTGGAGGGGGTCCTCGTCCTCCTTCCCCACCACCTCCTCCTCCTCCTCGTCCTCCTCCTCCTCCTCCTCGTCCTCCTCCCCCACCACCTCCTCCTCCTCATCCCTCCTCCTCCTCCTCGTCCTCCTCCTCCGCTTTCCCCCCATCCAACTTCTGGTGGTGGTGGTGTAGCACAGGCCCAGCATGCTGGCTGGCCGGTTCTGGGCCCAGGCTTGGTGCACACGCCGAGGGCGCGGGCACGGAGCCTGGGCCCAGCAGGGGCTCGGCCAGGCTCGGCGCACGTGCGCAGTTCTCTCTCTCCTCTGGCCGACGCCGGTGCCTTTCAGTATCGTTTATCCGATCCCCATCCTCATCTCCCTCGCCTTCGAGACCCCCACCAGATTACCACCCCAGTTGGGGATGGACCCTTAGAAATCCGAAGAGAACGACCTATATCCCCATCTAGGGGGGTAAATCGGCCAGTGGGGCCCAGGCCACACCGCTGGGGATGGCCGCCAGAGTGCGCCCTGGGAGAGGCTCCCAGGAGTGGCGGCATCGGCATTTTTTTTTGCTGCGCCCCTGGGAAAGGGGTGCAGCGGTGCAGCGAGGGCGAACGAAAAGGGAGGGAGGGAAAGAGGGAGGGGGAGGGCGATAGGGGAGATGGTGATGGGAGGATCGGATGGAGTATGAGGGGGGAGGCGCAGCCCATGGGAGTGATGCATGGACGGACGGGGAGGACGGGAGGGAGGGCAGAATGAGGGAGGGAAAATAGGAGACAGGGCGAGGAGGGAGGAGTGATTGGTGACGGGGAGGGGGGGCGCAGGGAGGGGCGGTGAAACCGTGGAAGGAGCGGGAGGAGGCAGGGAAACAGGATGTATTGGAGGGGCTGGAGATCCGCCACCCTGACCTCTATTTCCCTCACCTGGCCTTTTCACCTTGCTTCCCTCCAACCCTTCCACTGCACCTGCATGCCCTAGCCTGGGGCACGGAGGGACAGAACGGGGGAGGGAGGGCAAGGAAGTGGAGGGAGCCAGGAAGGGAAGGGAGGGGGAGGGAGGCAAGCTAGGTGCTCTCGCGTCATATCTGACGTCCTACCCTCCCTCCCATCCCTTACCATGGCGCAGATCTCCTGCCTATTCGCACAATCGGATGTCGTAGCATGGCGTAGCATTACATGGCATAGCATGGTGTTGAAGATAAACGCGTAGCATGGCATAGCATGGCGTGGCGACGCCCCCAAATGAGGGGGGGTTCTGCGGCCCAGCAAACTAAATGATCGGCACCGAATGTGTAACCACTTCCGATGGTTTCTTCGGGAGGCCATTCTTTTGATTTTGGGGTCTATTTGGGAGGACCGATAACCATGCCGTGGCATGGCACTGGAAATAACGACGCCAGCGCTGCAGCGGAAGCACCATTCGGAACGAGCGGAAGCGCGGAAATGAGGCCAGCGCTGCAGCGGGAGTACGATTCGCAACGAGCGGTAGCCCGAAAAGGAGGCCAGCGCTTCAGCGAGAGCAGCAATTAGAAAAACAGCCCATGCGCGGAAGCGCGGAAATGAGGACGCGTAGCCTGACATAGCATGGCGTGGCGACGCCCCAAAGTGGGGGGGGGCTTCTGCGGCGCAAAAAAACAACGAATCGGCACTGGATGTGTAATCACTTCCGATGTTTTTTTCGGGAGGACATTTTCTAGATTTGCGGGCCATTTGAGAGGACCGAAAACCATACCGTGGCATGGCGCTGGAAATAATGACGCCAGCGCTGCAGCGGAAGCACCATTCGGAACGAGCGGAAGCGCGGAAATGAGGCCAGCGCTGCAGCGGGAGCACGATTCGGAACGAGCGGTAGCCCAAAAATGAGGCCATCGCTTCAGCGAGAGCAGCATTTCGAAAAAACCCAAGCGAAAACCCGTTTATGGGAAATCTTGTGTGTAAAACACCAATACGCGGAGGGGCGCCGGCCATTTCCCGGACGCCACCAGGGGAGAGAGGAGAGTAGTATTCACATCATTCGATTGTGAAGCGTTCCCCCCACCGGGTGAGGCCCTGGCCGCGTCGTTGGGTCGATGCCACCTGGGCGAGACGTCCGACCTTTTTTAAGACCAGCACGCTGGTCCACTCTCTCCGCACTTCCCCCTCGCCCCCTCCGCCTCCTCCTCCTCCTCCTCCTCCTCCTCCTCCTCCCCCTCCTCCTCCTCCTCCTCCTCCTCCTCCTCCTCCTCCTCCTCCTCCTCTTCCTCCTCCTCCCCCACCCCCGTTTCCCAACCCCGCACCCCTGCCCCAGCCGCTGGCCGTCATCTCTGTCTTTCCTTCCCCTCTTCCCCATCCCCCCTCTCCTCTCCTCTCCCGTCCCCTCTCTGTTTTCCGCCTCTTCGTCCTCCTCCCTCCTCCTCCTTCTCCTCCTCCTGCTCCTCCTCTTTCTCTCCTCCTCCGCCTCCTCTTCCGCCTCCTGTTCCTCCTCCTCCTCCTCCTCCTCCTCCTCTTCGTCCGCCTTTTTTCGTCACCTTGCAGTTCATGTCAACAAATCCTTCCTCTCCTCCTCTCCCTGCTCCTCCTCCTCCTCCGCCTCGGCCCTCCGCCCTCCGCCTCCTCCTCTCCTCCTCCTCCTCCCCTCTCTCCTCCTCCTCATCCTCCTCCCGCCACCCCGTTTCGCCCACCCCGCACCCCTGCCCCGCCGCTGGCCGTCATCTCCGTCCTTTCTTCTCTCTTCCCTCCCCCCTCGTCCTCTGCCTCTCCGCGTCCCCTCTCTCCTCTTCCGCCTCTCCTCCTCCTCCTCCTCCTCCTCCTCCTCTCCTCCTCTCCACCGCTTCCTTCCTCCTCCGCCGTCCTTCCTCCTCCTGTTTTCCTCCTCCTCCTCTTCCTCCTGCTCCTCCTCCTCCTCTTCTCCTCCTCCTCCTCCTCCTCTCCTCCTCCTCCTCTCCCTCCTCTCCTCCCCGCACTCCTCCTCCTCCTCTTCCTCCTTTTCCTCCTCCTCGTCTCTCACTCTGCCTCCTCCTCCTCCTCCTCCTCTTCTCCGCCTCCTCCTCCTTCTCCTCCTCCTCCTCCCTCCTGCCTCCTCCTCCTCCCTCCTCCTCCTCCTCCTCCCCTCCTCCTCCTCCTCCTCCTCCTCCTCCCTCCTCCTCCTCCTCCTCCTCCTCCTCTCCTCCTCCTCCTCCTCCTCCTCCTCTCCTCCTCCTCCCCCTCCTCCCCCTCCTCCCCCGAGCTTTGTACCGACTGGGCCGCGGCGTGGCTGGACCACGCCAGGCCCCCCAGATGGGGTCGGAGTTGATGGGGTCGGAGGATCGCGTCGAATCGCCTCCGCATCGCCGATGCGGCTCCATGTGGGGCCTAATTTTCTCCACGCCGACGGCGCCGACGCATCGCCGACGTCACCGATGCATTGCCGATGTCTCGGCGATGTCCCGGCGATGCATCGGCGATGCGGCGGGATCCTCCGACACCATCTACTCAGACCCCATGTGGGAGGCCTTCACGAGCATTGCGCCGACTGGGCTGGCGTGGCTGCACCAGTCAGTTGCCCGACGCGCTTCTGGTGCGGGGCCGTCTTCTGCTGAGAGTGGCAGCATTCCGGAGCACACAGCGGGAATGCGGATCGCCTTCTGTTGCCATCGGGGGGTCCTTTTTTGGGGTCGGCGGGGCGGCCTCCAGGTGCGTGCACGCTCTCCGTCTGCCGGCCGCGCGCTTGCAGTTGCCTGCGCTTTCGACGGGCGCCGACCCCGACTGCCGCAGCGCCGCGAAGGGCCCGAGGCTCTCGCCGCCAGACGGCGCGCCTCCCGGAGCGATCGCCCCCGATGGTACGCGGTCTTTTCCGCACACTGGCCGAGCCGCCGCCATCCGCGCCGGCCCCCTGCCGGCGAACGTCGCCCCGCGGCCCCAGCGGTGTGTTCCGCGGGCGGGCTGCGCGGGTCTCCTTCGGCACAGCCGGGTCTGACCTTCCCGGGTCGGCGAGTGCGTGGCCCGAGGGCGATCACCCAGGCCCGGGCAGATCGACGGGCAGAGCAGCCGGATCTCAGAGGTTCGCGATTTGGCCCCACCCGAGTTGCTCCTCGTCCTGGCTTCGCCTTGCTGTGGGAGGCCTGGGGTGGTGGTGCGTCCCAGCGACTCCGCAGAATTTCGCCGCCTTCCGGGGCCGATCCCAGCCCAGCCTCCCTCCAGCCTCGCTCCTTGTCCTCCCCTTCCCTGCCCTCCTTCGCCTCCCTTCTGCCTCCTTTCTGCCCCCTCCTCCCTGCCTGGACCTTCCTCGTGCCTCTTTGCCGCTCCCGCCTCCTTGCTTCCCCCCTGCCTCCCTTCCTCCTCGCGCCTCCCTCCCTCCGCCTCTGGAATTTCCACTCTGCGACGCTTGTCGTGCAGACACAAAGCCAGCTTAGAGGCGGTGCAGCCGAAGGCGGAGGCGGCTCGGCATCTGGGGCACGCGAGAACAGTGGCGCGCCCGCCGCGCCGCTCCTGGGGCGAGACCACCCGGAGCTCGGGAGATTGCGAGCCCGACGCGTGGATGAAAGCAGACGTACGAGGACCAGGCGAGGGCATGACGATCAAAGCATGGCGCCTCGCACTCGCGGATGCCATCCACGAGCGCGGGCACGCGAGCCCACCGGCCACAGCGCAAGCTCGAGCGCAGCCCCGATTTCCGAGCCGCGCCCTCGGGACTCAGACAACGACGCCCGTACCGCCGCCTTTTTGATGGGGTGCCGCCCCTCGCCCTCCACCCATCTTGTGGTGTGGACCTGGTCCAGCATCCACGATGCCCGGCGGGGACCTGCCGCGTGTGGGCCCAGCCTTAGCCCAATGAGCCATTTCCACTGCCCGC